CTATTCTCCAAAGCACCTGGAGGCAGGGCAAGAAGCAATGCATGGAAACTAATCAAGGAGAGAAACAAACTAGAACTAAGAAGAAATTTCCTGACAGTGAGAGCAATTAATCGGTGGAATGACTTGCCNCTATAATGTATACAATCTATCAGTTATCCATCTGTCTAGCCATCCATCAACTATTCTTTCTATCATCCATCCATCCACCTATCCATCCATCCATGTATCTATGTATCCATTTTGCATTTGTGATATGTTAACATTCTAAAACACCATAATGGAGGGAAAAGTTAGTTTAAAAGATGAAACATTTGCATAAGGATGGAAATGTTCATTTTCAACAGTTTAGTCTATGATCCTTTCCTGTTATTTAACTAAGAAAGAAGAAGGGGAAGCAGAAATTTGAGGAAATATTGAATACCTACAATCCCAAGTGGATGTCTTTACATGTCAAAATTCCCTACACAAGTCCCCAGTTTCATACTTCAACTTCAAAATGAAGATGATCTTCCCACGTACCATTTAAATAATCTGAACTTAACAAGCTTTACAGGGAGGCTGTACTCAGCATTAAGTGGCAACTTGTCAAGCCACCCCATCTCTTCTCAAATAGAGTTGAGGTGACCTAAAAGTTGTTCTATACAAACCTCATTTGCAGTCACACTCTAATCCAAGTCCAACCTAAAATCTAGGGAAACAGGATTTTAGGAAAAGGCACGCTGATTAAATTGAAATAATGGATTTCTTGCTTTAGTAATGAAATAATTCGCCAGAGATCTGAGAACATGTTATTTTAAAGCTCCAAGAGAAAGGAGGTGACGCATTTTCAGATCTCCCCAGCTAAACACATTACTTTTACTGCATTTGCCGTGATCAAATGCCAAATGTTCAGGGCCGTGAATAGCTGCATGGCATAAAATGCAAAATGGGGATTGCTGGGGCAAACACAGTTGCTGCAGATTTCCTGGTCAACCATCTGTACCCATTTAATGCCATGAAGAATCCAGCTGCAACTGACATGTTATTTAAAATGCAGAGCCTATAATTAGGTGTAGATGTTACCCAGCTGTATAAAAGTCTAGGAATACCCCTTGACTCTTTAAATCATCGGAAAAGTGTCTCACATTTCAGGAAGCCTGGGTGATTTTTTTTCTTTCTTACCCATAGGCATTCAGAACTTAATTTTAATCCGAATTGGTAATCGTCTTTTCTATTTAACAGAAGAAGAGGCTAACCATGTGGGCTTTTTAAAAAATACTGTATTTTTTGGATTATAAAACGCACCAATGCATAAGACGCACCAAGATTTCGAAGAAGTAAGTAAGAAAGTTTTTGTACTCCTCAGCCCCAAAGAGCATTCTGCAGGCTTCAGCAGGGCTGGGGGAAGGCAAAAACACCCCAATTTTTGCGGAAAACGGGCTATTTTTTGCAAAAACTGAGGCGTTTTCGCCTTCCTCCGGCCCTGCTGAAAGACTACAGAGTGCTTCTGTAGGCTGGGGGAAGGCAAAAATGCCTCCGTTTTTGCAAAAAGGGCCTGTTTTTTGCCCATTTTTTGCAAAAATGGGATGTGGGAAGTGGGGCTTCAGGAGGCCAAAAAAGAATGTATTTGGTGTATAAGACACACCAACATTTACACACTCTTTTTTTGGGTGGGGGGAGGTGTGTCTTAAACTCCGAAAAATATGATACTCTGTTTCCCAGATAATAAGACCTCCTCAGATAATAAGTGTAATCAGGCTTTTGGGTGCATGCACTAATCCTAACCCTAATCCTAAAATAACCGCTCCCCTGAAAATAAGCCCTCCCCCAAAATATTGCAACACAGCAGCAGCCATGAGATGACCACGCCCAATACCGCCTTCACCTCAAAAATAATAAGACCTGAAAATAAAGCCAAGTGCTTATTTTTTTTTTGGGGGGGGGGGGGGAGGTCAAAAGAAAATAAGACTCTGTTCTATTTTCAGGGAAACACGGTAGCTGGCTAAAATAAACCACATTGCTCAATTGAAGAAGAATTATTGACTCAATGGTGTTCTTCCACTTATTTCAGATACCCTGTCAAGT